GCTCCAGAGTTTCACTGTCCTCTCTGCATGCTCTACATTCGTCTGAATCCGCACATCCAATTGTGTATAGGTGTGCCCGCAATGCTGTGTGTCCATTAAGAATACGTACCATCAGGCTTCTCGTCCTTTTCTCGTTAGGGTCACCCCATAGGATCTTTGTGGTTCTACCCACGGTTTCATTATTCCAAGAGGCCTTATGGGTTTCTCTCAGCCATCATTTTAATTCTGCCCTTGTTGCGTCAAATGGTTTTGTGTTCGTCAGGTTAACTACCTCGAGCTCCTTTTCCTTTAAAGCTGAGCCATTTTTGATTATCATGGTTTTCACAATCTCTTGCACTTTAAATTTCCGATCGGCTAAGCCTATATCGTTAATTGTTTGGGCAGTAAAGAATTTAACTGGGTTTCTAGAACTTTCGGAATCTATCAAGCTTGTACAAACACTGATGACCTTTTAAATAGCAGATATTTCTGCTTAAAGAAGACTACAATAGTGTGCCACAATATCATGCCAACTGCAGTTTCAAAAATGATCTAATCCGAACCCATCTATGAAGAATTAACCATCCATCTTTCGTCACCTGAATCTATCTACTAACAATAAACACAAAGTTATTGTACTTCTCATAAATATCGAGACATATCAGAGTAACTGATCGCTACCGTTTTATGGAGTGGTGAGATACGTAGATAAAGAGCAATTATCTAAGAAGCATCATGCCAATACGCAAATTTGGAGTCCACATTTACTTCATGTAAGCTCTAGTTTATATATAAAGTATAGACTTCTAATGTCTCTCTATATATTTCATTATATCGGATAAGTCAGGTTGATAGGGGAATGTATCTACATTCCTTTTCATGGAAAATTGTTTGTTGGTTAAAACAAACCATCTGAAACTCAGTTTTCTGATTATTTTTTATTTTAAGAAGGTGATCCCAGATCCAAACCAATTCTGAGTATTCTCCTAATGAAAAGTGCACCTGACTTATTATTGCAATTTATCTAGCTATCTAGGTTTCTAAGAAATCTATTTTCCGGTTTATCACCAATTTTTCACTAGAATTTCATCTAAAATACAAATATTTTAGTTCTTTTAAAATAGCTACTTCATCCGAGATATCACTTGAAATCTGGGTTTCACTATAAATTCGAATATTCACCAAAAATCCAAATTTTTATTCAAAAAGTCATATATCACTAAAATTACAATATTTCACTAAAAATCCAACTTTCACTCCAAATTTAAATTTTCGCTTAAATTGTCATATTTCACTAATATTTCAATATTTCACTAAAATTCGTAATTCACCAAAATTACAAAATTTCAGTAAAAATTCTAATTTTACTCAAAAATTCATATTTCACCAAAATTTCAAAATTTCACTAAAAATCCTAATTACCCTCAAAATTTGAAGTGAAATTAATATTTCACTAAAATTACAAAATTTCACAAAAAATCCCAATTTCACTAAAATTTCGAAGTCAAATTCATATTATCATTCAAAAATGCATATATCACTAAAATTACAAAATTTCACTAAAAATCCCAATTTCACTCAATATTCGATTTTTAGTGAAATTCAACTTGGTTATTCTAAAACTTCTCATCAAAAGTAAAAAATAAAGTTTAACATTTAATTCTTTTAAATATCTACAATGATTTATTGCTTTCCATCGCAAGTTGTTTTGCGAAAACAAAGAGTTTTGGCAACACTGAAACATTTACTCAATAAATAACAACAATAAAGGACAAAACGAAAATGAAGATAAAAACATAAACTCAAACAATCACTCGAAGACACACATTCAAACGCATAAATGCACACGTTTCGCCCAAAACGAAGAGAATCAAATTGGAATTTAGGGCGTTTCGCCGGCAAACAAAGAAACAACAACATAAAATGCAAAAAACACTAAAAAACATGCTGCCAATGTTCCGGTTTAATGAAGAAACCGATAATAATGATGATTAAAAAAACTTTAGATAAATTAAAATAAAACATAATAGAGAATTTGAACAACGAATAAAAACAAGTTTTAGAAAAGCCCTAAAACAAAAACATTTTACACTAAAAACAATAAAAACGATTTATTTATAAACAAAATGAATCAAAAACAACAAACTGAAGGAGTGTAGGCGTTGTACAATACACAAATAGAAGTAAAAAAATACAATTTGGCTACTTAGACAAACGGACAGGGGGACTAGGAACGTAGATATAAACTAAAAAACAAAAGTTGAATAAATTACGAAACGGCAGAGGCAAAAAAAATTGATTTAAATGCGAAAATATGAAAACAAAAAAATATAAATTATTAAAAAACACAACGAGCAAATACCTATTAAAAAAGAGGAGAAAAAGCTTGGTTAAGACAGCAGCAGGCGAAAACAACTGCAGCCAGCCACACAGCTGGTCTAGTAGAAGTTGAGACAGACATATAGCAGCAGCTGTCCATACCAACTAAATCTAGAGAGGAGACAACAAACGCAAAATGTTTTCATACACATTAAATAGATGGATGAATGGTTGAATGTATTAGGTGCCTGGGTGATCCACTAACATAAATACAATTAACAGAGAATAGAGGCAAAGAAAACATAATGGTGTCTGACTTTTCAATACGCTTTTTCGACACAAACTTCCTGGACGGGGAAAGGAGAAGCCAACAGATAACTTATTGCCTGGGTTTATATTAGAACTTACCTTAAGTTAAAGTAAAATTTCCACTATTTGTGGCAGCTTCCTCTGGAGAAAATATATTTTCCAAATAACACTTTTTTACACTTTGTTTCTTTAACACTTTTGTAAATTTATAAACTTTTGTTTGTTACAATTGTATGTTTAATATTTTCAAAATGGCCTAACTTTTGTTTGTGGCCTTTAATTTTGGCTAAAAAAAAAGAAACACTGCACTGCACTTACTAACTGCTAGCAAATCTTACTTTTTAGTTATCTTTATTTTTGCGTTTTTTAATATTTCTTGGTATTTTTATCTATATTTTATGTGTGTTCTACTCCGTTTTTTTTTCTTGTAGCATTCTCTATAGAATTTCTGGAAACTTTTTCAGACACTCGCGACGTTCGTTTTCAAGACATTTTTTCGTATTATCCAATTTCAACGTTATCATTTCATTATAATTTCATTTTCTATTGAATTCTCTTATAAATAATAAATAAATTTTACAATTTAATGCACAGACGTCGCGGAATTTTTTATTTTTATCTATAATTACACTATTATTTGCAGATTCGTCTTTTTCCCAACTTAATTTGTTGACATTTTGTTTTGTGTTCGTCAAAAATGGTATTTGACAGTTCATAAGCAGTGGCTTTTAAACTGTTGCTTTAATGGAGGAATATTTAAACAAATGTGTCTTGGCTAATATGTTTATGTGAGAGACATCTGGTGGTGAGTAGTAATCGTAAAGAAAAAAGTATTGCTACACAGAAGACAGAAAATCACTTAAATGAAAAAATCGCATGCTTTATTATATTGGAGAGAAATTTTTAAAAGAATTCAGCAAATTTTTATTATTTATTCAGAAATCTAGAAAATTTTATAATGGGGTTTTCCATGGGACATTTGCTTCATCTAGATAATTAGCAAAGATTAGAAATTAAACACATTTTCGACATTTTTTCATTTAAAATAACGTATTTTTAAGAAAATCTAAATTTTAATTGAGAATTTAATTTTCCCCAGAAATTCAACCTTTCACATCATTTTTCATTGTTATTTTCTGCAGAGAAATAAATATTTATTATTAACTATGTAATAAAATCCGATTCTTTAGTTAATACACGATTTTGTTTGTAAGGTCGCCTACAGAAAATGATTTTAACGTGTAATAACTTATATAAAAATGCCAGTGTAGCAATAAAATATAACATGATCGAGTTTTATATCAATCGAAATCTTAAAGGTTATGAGGTTAATTGATTTTAACGTTTTTTACGGACTTAATAATACCATAATAAAATAAGTTTTGTTGAAACGAAACGCACAAAAATGGCTTTCAAATGTGGATGTAATAATGGAATTCGACGAAAAAAAAGCTTTTTTAGGAACCAAAAACTATATTTATGATACCTAAAATTATGGTTAACGGTCCGCCAATATAACCCTCTTACAGAAAATCAATTTATAGTTAATACATCATTCCAAAAATATAGCCTTATGATAGAATTAAAAAAATACTTTAAATTATAGAGATCTTGGTCCATAATTGACCAACGCTGACGTTCATATTAATCTAATGGTCAAACTCCATATACCTATATGACCACTTCCGAAATTTGCTTTTTACAACATATATGTATGATGCTTTTCAAAGTTTTCGGGCTTTAGAAGCTGCAAGTTACATACCACGCGTCATTTTGATCTTTCTTTTAATGTTTTTAAAACTATTACTGTTTTAAAAATGAAAATTTTAAGATTTTGTTCATTTTTTTAATATTTTTCTTTGATTGTTGGTGAAATTTATTTCAATTTAGTTTATTCTTATTCTACACAAAATAAAACTCATCCCTGATCAGTTGTCGACGCGTCAAAGGTGGAAGTACACAACACGCGTTGTACGCGGCAACGCGATATATGCTTTTGTCAAAAAAAGTTGAAATAGTGTATTTTTATTTAACAAGTTACACATTGTAGTTTGTAACGCGTCTGCTGTGAAAAGTTCAACAACTTTCAACTTTTGACGCGTTGGCAGCTGATCAGGGTTGTGTTTTGTTTTGTGTAGAAACTAAAATGAAATAAATTTAACTTGCCGCTTATAAAGCGCGAAAAGTTTTAAAAGCGTGAAACGCGTTGCCGCCTCAACGCGTGTTGTGTACTTCACCTTTATAAATTATATACAAAATCCCACTTTTTTATCGCTCGGATTCCGTTTTTATTTAAAATCTTTGAAAATTTAAAAATTTTGCGTATTTGAGAACTTAGCCGGCTTACAGTCGATCTTAAGCCGCCGCCGATATTTTTAGTGTCAGCCGCCGCAGCCTTTAATATTTGTCGGCGCAGGGCTCTGAATAGACGCCGAAATTTTTTCTTCCATCACATTTCTCTTTTGCTAAAATAAAATAAGTTTACTCTGCTTGTGAAAAACACACAGTGATTTAGGAAAAAACGAACAGTGAAATACAAGTATAATACATATATAAAACAGGTAAATTATTAATGAAAATATTGCGCTAAAATCGTCAACTAAAGCATCTTTTATATAGATTTGCTTTTGAATTGAAATTAAATTGTCAAACAAACAAAATGGCTGACATTTCTACGGAAGAGTTGAAAAATGAAATCCATGCAGTCTTAAAGACAGCCGATTTATCGGTGGTCTCGGCCAAGAAGGTGCGTGAACAAGTGGAGAAAAAGTTGGACTGTTCGTTGCTCAGCCGCAAGAAGGAGTTTGACAAAATTGTGATGGATTTCATAAATGATCAGCAAGAAGACGAAGAATCAGAAGAGGATGACAAAGATGAAGACGAAAGTGCTTCCGAAGAGGAGGCCAGCAGTGAGGAAGAAAAGAAGCCGGCAAAGAAACGTCCCCAACCTACACAACGCAAAGCAGCACCCCCCAAGAAGAAGCGTAAATCTTTGACAGCTTCTGACTCCGGCTCCGAATCAGATGCCGGTTCGGATTCAGACTTTGAAATGCCCAAGAAAAAGGCGGCCGCCAAAAAGAAGAAGGCAGCCGGTGAGAAGCCAGCGGGAGGTCGTAAATCAACCGGTTTTACCAGATCCTACAATTTGTCGCCGGAATTATCCGCCCTAATGGGTGCTGAAGCTTTGCCCCGCCATGAAGTGGTCAAGAAAGTCTGGGCCATTATTAAGGAACGCAACTTGTACGATCCGAAAAACAAACAATTTGCCATTTGTGATGATGAACTTATGAAAGTAATGAAGGTTAAACGTTTCGTACCTTTGGTATGTTGAAACATTTAAAGCCCCATTTCTTGGAATAAGCAAACGAGGATCGAACTTGAATACACCCCGCGGGCGTTTAATGGTTATTAAACATTATATGGCCATTTAGATATACTACTAAAGCAAACAAGAGTTTTAGTAATTTTAAAATTTAAATTTTTTTATAATTTTAATATTTTTTTTTATAATTTACCCCCTTTTTTCCTTTTGCAGTTAATTGTGACAAATTAAATTTATTGAAAAGAGAGAGAGAGCAAAAAATGTAGTAATTCTTAAAAGCGAAAGTATAAAATTAAAATTATTAAACTTTATAAAAATTAATTAATAAAGCATTTCTAAATGTAGTATTTTAAGTTATTTTCTAAATAATTAAGAAATTGTATTTTTTGTTTGTTTGACTGCATTTACGCCTTTTTAGTCGTAAAGGAAACATTTAACAATTTAAGAAAGTATCTTGAAGAAAAACTCAGTGTATCCGCAATAAACTAAAAATAAAAATAATTTCCATTTATAATTATTTTCTTAAGTTCTTTTGATATTTTACATTTAAGAGAAACAATAAAATTAAAAGAAAAACAAAAAAATAAAACTTAAAATGCTTCAATTTAAATTAAAAATAATTAACTTTATTTTGTTAATAAGGGTAAATTTCTTCACTTAAAGACGATCTTTTACTAAAACCCATAAATTAGAATTTTCCCTACAGCTTAATAATCTACTGGGAAATAGTTTCACTAAAAAGGAGTTTTTCGCTGAAATTTGGAAGTGAAATTCTCATAAAAAATTGTTTATTATAATATTAAGATTTAGTGAATACCTATCAAGTCTGGTTTAAATCGAGTTTTACAAGCTTAAACTTACTGTTTTTTCGTCGTTGCTCCGACAAAAACAGTTATATGTTTTTTGTAAGGTTTTCATGAGAGCAAAAAAATGTTTATTTTGTAATTTCGCGAACAACATTTGAAGTTAAATGTTCCTTGCGAATCTAAGCCCATTTGTTACAAGAGTTATGTAAATAAATATATTCCAGAATAATTCGCCACTTCTGATCTGTAATTAAATATTTAATAAAAACTACACATAACCGATTTTGTATCAAGCATTTTGAGCAAAATAAACATAAATTTCTTTCTGCTGGTCCTTCGGACCCCAAACAGCTATTTTATTAATCTCGTTTAGTTGGCATTTTTTAATAGGTATATGCCTAAAGGTATGCTTTAGAATATGAGAATAAGGAAAAGGTACTTAGGTACATCTAGACTAAAGTATAATCTATAACCTAGTCTATAAGTATTTGTATAGTCTATAGTGTAGTATATAATGTAGACTAAATACTAACGTCTAACCTATAATTTTGTTTATAACCTAGATTAAAATCTAGTCTATAGCCTAGTGTACATTCTAATCTATATTCTAGTCTCTAGATTAGTCTAGTCTATAATCTAGTATATAGTTTAGTCTATAGTATAGTCTAAAAAAAGAGAGTTTTCGGAACATTTTTTAAAAACAAGAGAATTTTACCAAAATTTTCTCAAAAGAGAATTCTAAAAAAAGTATTTGAAAATTTTCTATCGAAAAGAGAAATATTCGAAAATTTTCTATCGAAAAGAGAAATATTCGAAAATTTTCTATCGAAATAGAAATATTCGAAAATTTTCTATCGAAAAGAGAATTATTTGAAAATTTTCTAAGAAAAGAGAAATATTCGAAAATTTTCTAAAAAAAAAGAGAAATTTTCGAAAATTTTCTAAAAAAAAGAGAAATTTTCGAAAATTTTCTAAAAAAAAGAGAAATTTTCAAAAATTTTCTAAAAAAACAGAGAAATTTTCGAAATTTTCTAAAAAACAAGAGAAATTTTCGAAATTTTCTAAAAAACAAGAGAAATTTTCGAAAATTTTCTAAAAAAAACAAGAGAAATTTTCGAAAATTTTCTAAAAAAACAAGAGAAATTTTCGAAAATTTTCTAAAAAAACAAGAGAAATTTTCGAAAATTTTCTAAAAAAAACAAGAGAAATTTTCGAAATTTTTCTAAAAAAACAAGAGAAATTTTCGAAATTTTCTACAAAAACAAGAGAAATTTTCGAAAATTTTCTAAAAAAACAAGAGAAATTTTCGAAATTTCTAAAAAACAAGAGAATTTTCGAAAATTTTCTAAAAAAAACAAGAGAAATTTTCGAAAATTTTCTAAAAAAACAAGAGAAATTTTCGAAAATTTTCTAAAAAAACAAGAGAAATTTTCGAAAATTTTCTAAAAAAACAAGAGAAATTTTCGAAAATTTTCTAAAAAAACAAGAGAAATTTTCGAAAATTTTCTAAAGAAAAGAGAAATTTTCGAAAATTTTCTAAAGAAAAGAGAAATTTTCGAAATTTTCTGAAGAAAGAGAAATTTCTAAAGAAAAGAGAATTTCTAAAGAAAAGAGAAATTTTCTAAAGAAAAGGAAATTTTCTAAAGAAAGAGAAATTTTCTAAAGAAAAGAGAAATTTCTAAAGAAAAGAGAAATTTTCTAAAGAAAAGAGAAATTTTCAAAAGAAAAGAGAAATTTTCGAAAATTTTCTAAAGAAAAGAGAATTTTCGAAAATTTTCTAAAGAAAAGAGAAATTTTCGAAAATTTTCTAAAGAAAAGAGAAATTTTCGAAAATTTTCTAAAGAAAAGAGAAATTTTCGAAAATTTCTAAAGAAAGAGAAATTTTCGAAAATTTTCTAAAGAAAAGAGAAATTTTCGAAAATTTTCTAAAGAAAAGAGAAATTTTCGAAAATTTTTCTAAAAAAGAGAAATTTCGAAAATTTTCTCAAAGAACAGAGAAATTTGCGAAAATTTTCTAAAGAAAAGAGAAATTTTCGAAAATTTTCTAAAGAAAGAGAATTTTCGAAAATTTCTAAAGAAAGAGAAATTTTTCGAAAATTTTCTAAAGAAAAGAGAAATTTCGAAATTTTCTAAAGAAAAGAGAAATTTTCGAAAATTTTTCTAAAGAAAGAGAAATTTTCGAAATTTTCTAAAGAAAGAGAAATTGTTCGAAAAGTTTCTAAAGAAAAGAGAAATGTTCGAAAATTTTCTAAAGAACAGAGAAATTTTTGTGAAAATTTTCTAAAGAAAGAGAATTTTCGAAAATTTTTTAAAGAAAAAAAAATTTTTTAATGAAAAGAGAAATTTTCGAAAATTTTCAAAAAAAGATAAATTTTTCTAAAGAAAGAGAAATTTTTCTAAAAAAAGAGAAATTTTTCTAAAAAAAGAAACTTCTAAAAGAATGTCTTAAAAGGTGAATATGATTCGATGAATACCTCCAGGGGGTTAAATAGTTAGGTGTTCTAGTCCGTTAGAAGGGCGGGGTCGTGGGTTCTATGCCCACCCAGAAACACTGGTAAAGGAGCGCATAACATACCTGGAAACAATACACCTCTTCGGATTTGATGTGACATTTATGAAAACTGTTCTTAACTATGTATAAAGCTTATCATTTTAGTTTTTGTTATCGAATCATTTAACATTCATTGCTGTACGTTCAGTTTTCCCGTCTTCGACAGCTGATAGAAACGGTGCACTGCGGCGACATTCTCCCCACAATACTTTTTATTAATTTAACCTCTTTGGATACCAGAAAAGTTCTTCGGTCTCGTCACGTCTGGCAGAATATTAGAATGTTAGCTTCGGCAAGCGGGCAAACAACGAAAATTTAAAATCTTAAATCTATTTTTAATTATTTTTCATAAAATTTCTGATCTCTTAGTTTTCATGCTCACCACCTCTTATCTTTTTCTTTGGTTTCCCTTTAATAATAACAACGTTTCTTTCGCTTATTAAATTTTTATAAACAATTTGTTTTGTTTTATTGGTAAATTTACTTTGTTTGTTGTTGTTTGTTTTTATTTTTTTTTTATACATAAATTAGGTATATACTGTTCTGTTGTAGTTGTAATTGTTTGTTGTTTCATTTCATTTAGTTCCTGTTGAGTTTCATTCATAAATCTTAAACGTTAAAATTTGTTTTTTAGCTTAATAAACAAGAATATATTTTTTATTGGGTTTCTTGTTTTCTTTTATATAAATAAACATTTAAATATATGTATGTAATAAATACATATAAAAATAAAATTATTACAAAATACAATAAAAACATCATCTTTTAATAAGCATTAAATAATTAAGTACATGATTTTGTATGTTGTTGCTGCTATGTTTGATAAAACAAATTATTTAAAAAAAAATTAAATTAAAATGGAATATTTTATGTTTAATATATAAGTAGTGGTATTTTGGCAAATTATTAAAATACTATTGAATGTAAAAACAAAGAAAGTGGAAAACAAACAAAACGTTAATGTGGGAGGGGATTTTAAAAGCATTTTTTAGGGATTTTTTAAACATTTAATTTGATAAATGCGCAAAACTTTTATTTTAAGCTTAAATGGAAAAAAATTAAAGGTAATTTATAATAAAAATTTGCCAAACAATATGTATAAATATATATATAAAAAATATATGTTTGAATAATTCTTATTATTTTGTTTAAACTAAATAGTGCAAAAAAAATACCTTGGCGGTAAAAAAAATTAAGTAAAATATATAAATTCTTTAGGCGGCAAAAAATTTATGTTATTCTTGTTAACATTAAGTACAACAACAAAGAAATATATTTTTGTTTTACTATATTTCAGCATTTTTGATTATTATAAACGGAAAATATTTGAATTTTTCATTAAATTCTATTATTTGTTTAAGATTTTTTTTTTAATAAGGAGAGTTTTACACCAAAAAAATTATGCAATTTTTTTTTTAAAGACTAGTCTATAGTTTAATCTCTCGTCTAGACTAAAATATAGTCTATAGACTAATCTATTGTCTAGTCCAGTCTATAGTCTAATTTACAGTCTAGTCTATAATATAGCCTAGACAATTATCTAGACTATAGTCAAGTCAATAATGAAGTCTAAAGCATAAACTAGTGTCTAGTATAAAGACTAGTCCATACAA